CTGGGGTTATCTGTGCTGTAATGGCCAGTGAGGGACCCATGACCTTGTCTAAGGGGCGCTGGGTGAAGCTTACACGCTGTTATCTGGCTGTTAGAGTTCACATAACATGCGTTTCAGCGGTTCTTTGATCCACCCCAATGCACTACTTGAGAAGATAAAATCATGCAGCCCATTTTGCTGTAATTGTCTCCCTCTCACTGGGGCTTCCATCTGTTTATATCACCAGCATTACTGCTTGGGGTGTTCACAGGCTGCTGGAAGGGAAGAAAGCATCGTGCTAGGATAAAACTTGGAAGATCACAGCTCTGGGCTGAGGGACAGCATCTGAGAAGATCTGCAGTTCTTTCAATCTGGCAGTGACCCGCTTGGATGGAGTACCAAGAAACCAGTCCGCTAACTCTGACCAAGAAACCAGTCCACTAGCACCTTCTGGCAGAACTAGTTGGGGAAGCTACCACTCCGACTCAGTCTTCCTCCTCAGTGCCCTGAGCAAAGCCTCACGGATCTGGCTGCATTTTATGCTGTAGATAATGGGGTTGAGAGCAGGAGGAATGATAAGGTAGGTGTAGGCCACCAAAGTGTTAACCAGAGGTGGAACATTCTTTCCAAAGCGATGGATCATGGACAGTCCGATCATTGGGATGAAGAACACCAGAACAGCACAGATGTGGGAGACACATGTATTCAGGGCCTTTAGACACTCCTCCTTGGTTGCAAGGCCGATAACAGTTTTAATGATCAAGATGTAGGACAGCACAATGAAGATGAAGTCCGTCCCCACCGTTGACAAAAGAATAATCATACCGTAGAAGACATTGACTTTTATGTCTGTACAGGCTAGGTTCATGATGTCAGGATGGAAGCAAAAAGAGTGAGAAAGTTCGATCTTCCCACAATAGGTTAGTCTCTTGAGCAAGAAAGGTATGGGAAGGAGGGAGACCATACCTCTCAATATAATCACCAAACCTATTTTCATGACAGTGGTCTTGGTCAGTATGGACGAGTGTCTCAGTGGACGGGAGATGGCAATGAAGCGGTCAAATGCCATTGCCAGGAGCACAGAGGACTCGATGAAGGACAGTATGTGAATGAAGTACATCTGAGTGAGGCAAGCATCAAACCCAATCCTTCGCATATTAAACCAAAAAATGCCCAGAGTAGTAGGCAGTGTACATAGAACCAAGCCCAGGTCAGTGACCGCCAGCATGGAGAGGAAGTAGTACATGGGTTCGTGAAGACTTTGGGTCTTCTTTATGATGAATAGGATCACGCAGTTTCCCAAGAGAGCAATAAGGTACAGTGCACAGAAAGGGATGGAGATCCAGTGGTGAAGGGCTTCCAGGCCTGGGATGCCCATCATGAGGAAAGCTGAAGGCTGATAGAAGGAGCCATTGAATTCCCAGGTGGTATGTGAGTCATGCTCCATCCCAGCTCAGCTCTCACATAACCTATACCTAAAACAAATCAACAACAGAAACTCCACGTAGTTGGACTCTCCACTGAATATAGGACTGGGTAATGCCACCTCCCTCCACCTCCCCACCAACCTGTGCAGATGCCCCCATGCTCTTTAGGACACTGTTATAACTACCATAGTGTCACATATGACTACACTCTTGTTCATATGTTAAGCTTTAAAATGAAGGAAAAGGATGGACATTTTTTCTTAAAAAAGAGAAATATTTTTTTCTTAAAATTACTGAACAGAAAGTCGGTTCTG